ACGTTGAACCTAGGGTGATCCAGGGCACTGCATGTTAGGTCTGTGTAACAGTGTCTGTGTGGGCTGTGTGGGCATGTGTGTGCACATGTATGCATGTGCAGGTATGTGTGTGTTCATGTGTGTGCTTCAGATCCCCTTTGGGGAATGTGCAGGAATGTCAGAAGTGGGGAGGTAGAGACTCTGGGTTAGGGCAAGGGGCGAGAGACCCTCTTTGAGACCACCTGTGGGGGCGAAGATGACTCCATCCTGGATGCTAATCCATCATGTTGGCTTCCAATTAACTCCAGTTCTGGGAATGCCTCTAAGATTTCTATTTCATCTTGTTCCTTGTGTAAGAGCATGTACTTACCATAAATCTTGCCCTTAGGTCAAAACAACCTTGATGTTATCGTACTTACCGTAAATCTTGCTGTAATTGTCCTGCATATCCCTTCTGAAGCGCAGACACTGTCCCCCTGTGGTACGTAAGCCCTGGGCCTGGGGATGGTAGTGCAGGGATCCCCCATTTCGTCTGCAGGCCACCCGAGACACGGCTCCTGTTCACGCATCCCATTAAATGTTGCTCTCTGAGGAACTGGATTTGCTGCCTCTTTCTTCGACCTCTCAGCTTCCTTGGCTTTTGGCAGTAGGTTTGCAAAATGACCTGCTCACCACGGAACCAGCTTATTCCAGTCAGAGTGGGATCAGCAGAATGGGGGAGTGGAGAGCATAACCCAGACCCCTCCATCCATGTGTTCATGGGAAGGTGCTGGCTTCTCTGCCTCCTGCGGAGAAAAGCCTCAAATGTCTGACTACGCTGACTCACTCGGACAGCCTTCCTTCTCTGTGGCCTCTGCTTGTGTTCTCCTCCCTCCTCCTCCCTTCTCCATTCACCAGTCCTGCCTGTCTCTCTGCTTGGCTAATGCATCCTTTGGTTTCAGATTTCGTGTCCCTGCCTCCATGAAGCCTTCCCTGATTGCCCCAGTGTGGGCAGGTGTCCCTGTGCATCCCCATCACAGCACTTGTCACAGTCGATGCCACTTCCCAGTTTACTTGTCTGTATTCCTCACTCAACCAGAAGCCTGTGAGGGTGGAGACATGGGATCTTGCTGGGACTTACAGCAATAGCCATGTGCTTCCCTTCCCAATGTCACACAAGCGAGACATGGTCTGGTGCATCTGATTCTGAGTCTCAGCTGTATGCGAGTGTGGCATGACCTTTCATCCATCCCCCCCTCTCTCTCGCCACGAGGACAAAAGCAAGGGTGACAACTACAAAAATGACCACCGCTGCCAAGGCCTCTGCTCTGAAAGTGCAGCACGGTGGGTGGGACCTCAAGACAGTGTAACTGACGACGTCTGCAGAATTCAACCAGTGTGCCCTGGTGGGTAGGACAGGAAGTAGGGCAGTAGGCGATTAGACAGAATTGATACTCTTTGAGATCAAGCAGTGTGTGGCTTTGAGATGGAGAAGCAGTAGTAGCTTTGTCCTTCCCAAGATTTGGACCCAGGGTTGCCTTGGGAATTCAGACATCAGGAAGGTGACCTGAAACATGGTGACTTGGCTATGTAGAGTGGAAGGCACTTAGAGGACATTTATCTATCCAGCGGGTCTTTTTGTTTTTGTTTTTTTTTTGAGACAAGGTCTTTCTCTGTTACTAAGGCTTGAGTGTAGTGCAGCCTCAACCTCCTGGGCTCAAGCAGTCCTCCTGTCTCAGCCTTCCATGTACCTGGGACACCAGGGACATGCCACCATGCCTAGCTAATGTTTTGATTTTTTGTAGACAGTGTCTTGCTATGTTGTCCAGGTTGGTCTCAAACTCCTGGCTTCAAGCCATCCTCCCACCTCAGCCTCCCAAAGTGTTGGGATTATAGGGGTGAGCAACAGCATCTGGCGTATCTAGCAGGTCTTAAAAACTATTTAGGTCATAGATTACGTTGCAAATCTCATGAGGGACCCTCTCACCAAAAAAAATTACCTGCCCACAAAGGTTTCCATACGATTTAAGGGATATTATATGCTTGAGGTCTATGATCTGTTTCTAAGCCTCATCCCAGAGGTGTGGTGATGAGGACCAACGAGGTGAATGTTTGTCTGAGGTCAAGACGGAGACAGGAGAGGTGACAAGGGCAAGGCTATTTCGAGACCTGTTTCCATACATGGTGGGGTCTCTCAACTTGAATGGAAAGTTTAATTTTGCCTCTGTATGGTGGTAGAAATAGTGTCAGTGACATCCAGTTTTTATAACGGGAAAGCACCACAGAGGATCTTGGGGTGCTGGGCTCTGACAGATGATGCATGAGCTATCAGGATTGTGTCCGCTTCAGAGGGTACAACATGGTGAGAAAAGGGGGCACCAGACTAACTAAGGCGGTCCCCGTGAGCACATTCTTGGGAAGTGTGAGGGTGGGTAAACGATCCTTGTTTCTTGCCTTGCATTGAAGCCTTTGCTATTCCACATTTCCTTTTTTTTTTTAAAAAAAAAAAAGATTATTTTAATTTTATTTTTTTAACCTCGGTTAAAGATATGCATATTCCGCATTTTCGCTGGTGCTTTAGAATTTGTTTAATGAAATGAGCTTCTTTCTTTCTTTCTTTCTTTCTCTTTCTTTCTTTCTTTCTTTCTTTCTTTCTTTCTTTCTTTCTTTCTCCCTCCTTTCCTTCCTTCCTTCCTTCCTTCCTCCCTCCCTCCTTTCCCTTCCTTCCTTCCTTCCTTCCTTCCTCCCTCCCTCCCTCCCTCCCTCTCTCTCTCTCTCTCTTTCTTTCTTTCTTTCTTTCTTTCTCCCTCTCTCCCTCTCTCTCTTTCCTGTCCTGTCCTTTCTTTCGATAAGGTCTCACTCAGTCACCCAAGCTGGGGTGTAATGGCACAATCACAGCTCACTGCTACCTCAACCTCCCACCCTCAAGCGATCCTCCTACCCCAGCCTCCCAAATAGCTGGGACTACAGGCTTGCACCACCATGTCCAGCTACTTTTTTTTTTTTTTTTTTTTTTTGAGGCGGAGTCTTCACTCTGTCGCCCAGGCTGGAGTGCAGTGGCACCATCTCGGCTCACTGCAAGCTCCGCCTCCCAGGTTCGCGCCATTCTCCTGCCTCAGCCTCCCGAGTAGCTGGGACTACAGGCGCCCGCCACCGCGCCCGGCTAATTTTTTGTATTTTAGTAGAGACGGGGTTTCACCGTGTTAGCCAGGATGGTCTCGATCTCCTGACCTCGTGATCCGCCCGCCTCGGCCTCCCAAAGTGCAGGGATTACAGGCGTGAGCCATCGCGCCCGGCCTCAGCTACTTTTTTATTTTCTGTAGCGACAAGGTCTTGCCATGTAGCGCAGGCTGGTCTCGAACTTCTGAGCTCAAGCAGTCCTCCCACGTAAGCCTCCCAAAGTGCTGGGATTGCAGACCTGAAGCCACCATGCTGGGCCATCAGCTGTTCTTTAGAACAATTTTTTTTCATTCTTTTTCTAAAAATCCTTTTTTCATTTAGTCTTCCCTGCATTTCAAATCGAACGATCTTATGAGAAGGGTCAGTGGGGTTATTTAAAGCCGAGAGATGAGGCAGTGAGCTCCGGCAGGTGTTCGTGCCTCCCTTCTCCCTCTGTCTGTCGGGTCCCAGGACTAAGGGTCCTGGCTGTGGGCAATCTGCAGGGTGGAAGAACAATCCTGTTTCCCCTAAAATGTCTTGTCACGGTTCCTAAGGCCCCCACTAAGGACGCGTGGAGTGGGGAGGTGAGACGGGAGGAACTGAAACAGCCCCATCCTGGTGTTAGGCTCCCTATTGAGTCACAATGTGTGGAAATGATATCAAATGAAGGAGAGTTTTTCTACAGAGATAAAAAGGCACTTAATAAAATGACATAACACTTCACAGGGAGCTGTTTTAATGGCTGCTCAAAGCAACTCTGAAGTGTCTATAATGAGATCTTAAAAGCAAGTTCTGAAATCTCCAATTCTCTTCTTTCTGATCTTGGGTGCTGTGATATCTTCCCTAGAGATTGACTCGTAGACTGAATGACTGTATTACAGGGTAGGTCTCCAGCCATGCTAACTTCATTTGCTGATGGTAGGTTTATTGCTAGTGCTTAAATCACTCTAAATAGGTTTTGTCAGTTAAAGCAATGTAATATCTTTGCTTTCTTATAGCCCAGAGAGTAGACTTCTGTAGGAATATTCAGAATTACTGCTCGCAGAGCAGAACCTTGTAATCCTATAAAACTTTGCTCTTATCAACCCCTCACACTGTTGATCTGCCCTAAACCTTAATGTCCTGATTTGCAAAATGGGGATAACCCAACTTCATTAGGGTTGTTGAAAGATTAAATATGTAACAAGCCTGGACAGAGTCAGTGCTTACTAAATACCTTCCATTATATCTGTATTAATTAATTGCCCATTGCTGTTGTCCCCAAACCTAACAGCTTAAAACAACATGCACTGATTATGTCACAGTTTTTGTGGATCAGGAATTGGGCATGGCTTAGTAGGTGCTTGGGCTTGGGGATCTCTTACAAGTCTACAACAGGTGTCAGCTGGGGCTGCAGTCATCTCATGACGGAACTGGGGCAGGGTCTGCTTTCAGGCTCCTTGGTGGTTGTCACCAGGATGCAGTTCCTGGTGGCCTGTTGCGTATGTGCCCTGAGGCCTCTCTCAGCTCCTTGCCTTGCATCTCTTCATGCATGGCAGCTTGCAAGAGCAAACAGGCAAGAGGAAGAGAGGGAGTATGAAAAAGAGGGCCACCAGCATCTTTCATTTATTTATTTGTTTGTTTGTTTGTTTATTTATTTATTTATGACAGAGTCTCGCTCTGTCACCCAGGCTGGAGTGCAGTGGCATGATTTTGGCTCATTGCAACCTCTGCCACTCGGGTTCAAATGATTCTCGTGCCTCAGCCTCCCAAGTAGCTGGGTTTATAGGTGCACGTCACCATGCCTGGCAAATTTTTAATATTTTTAGTAGAGATGGGGTTTCACCATGTTGGCCAGGGTGGTCTCAAACTCCTGAGCTCAGGTGATCCACCCGCCTCGGCCTCCCGAAGTGCTAGGATTACATGTGTGAGCCACTGTGCCCGGCCCCCAGTACCTTGTATAACCTCCCCCTCGGAGGTGACATCTGCCACTTTTGCTGCATTCCATTTCTTAGGAGCGAGTCATTGGGTCCGGGCCATATGGGAGTGAATACTGGGAGGCGGGGATTATTGGGAGCCACTTTAGAAGCTGCCTACTGCAGTTGTCATGATTCTTCATCCTTTTCTGCTAGATATGCAACTCAGGAACCGTAAAGATTGTCTTGTAAAAAACTGCAGAATGTAACAATAACAAATCCAAAGTTTGGAGCTTGGTGCCTCGCTTGGTAAGCGAGGTTATTCCACATGATCTGCGGAGGCTCCCTGCGGGAGGTGGGTGCCTGAGCCACTCATCAGTGACCCATCTTGCCCAGTGAGGAGCTCGCACATGTGTTGCTTGTGAAGAAAGGCGGCAAACAAACAGGTGGTTCCTTGGATAGGAAGTATGATTTAAGTAAGAAACCATGTTAGGTGCTGCTGGGAGTTGCTTGGAGGTTGGCGGCGCGGGGCTGAAGGCTAGCAGACCGAGTGATCATGTCGCACAAACAGATTGACTATTCGGACAAATACGATGACGAGGAGTTTGAGTATCGACATGTTGTGCTGCCCAAGGACATAGCCAAGCTGGTCCCTAAAACTCGTTTGATGTCTGAATCTGAATGGAGGAATCTTGGCATTCAGCAGAGTCAGGGATGGGTCCATTATATGATCCAGGAACCAGAACCTCACATCTTGCTGTTCCGGCGCCCGCTACCCAAGAAGCCAAAGAAATGAAGCTGGCAAGCTACTTTTCAGCCTCAAGCTTTACACAGCTGTCCTTACTTCCTAACATCTTTCTGATAATATTATTATGTTGCCTTCTTGTTTCTCACTTTGATATTTAAAAGATGTTCAATACACTGTTTGAATGTGCTGGTAACTGCTTTGCTTCTTGAGTAGAGCCACCACCACCATAGCCCAGCCAGATGAGTGCTCTGTGGACCCACAGCCTCAGCTGAGTGTGACCCCAGAAGCCACGATGTGCTCTGTATCCAGAACACACTTGGCAGATGGAGGAAGCATCTGAGTTTGAGACCATGGCTGTTACCAGAGATCATGTAAACTTGCTGTTTTTGTTTTTTTCCTGCCGGGTGTTGTATGTGTGGTGACTTGTGGATTTATGTTTCAGTGTACTGGAAACTTTCCATTTTATTCAAGAAATCTGTTCATGTTAAAAGCCTTGATTAAAGAGGAAGTTTTTATAATCTAAAAAAAAAAAAAAAAAAGAAACCACGTTAATTATTTTTTTAACAGTTAAGGCCACATTCTCTATTTCTGCTTAGCTGCACGGAGTTTGTACACTGGGACAAACTGCTCTCTGGAAATGCCAAGAAGCAGTGGGGCTATTATAAGAAAAACGGAACTGAAGGAGTTGTGGAACTTGCTCTTCTTCCCCATTTAAGAGTCGTGTTCCTTCTTTAACTGATCGGAAGCGCAGGGGAGGAGGAGAGAGCGGTGGTGTGGTCTTCCTTAAGAGCTGGGCTAGGAGAGACATGGAGCCTCTGGCACTTTGGTTTTTCACTCCTGATAATGTCAGTGGCCCTGGCTTTCCTAGAACTCAGCAGCCGGGGTTTCCTTTCCACCAGCAGGGTAGAGGAGCCACCACCATTGAGGCTAGAACACTCAGTGGCTGAAAGATTGCTGAACTTGGGAATCCACCAGATAGGCCAGCTCTGCAAGAATGAGAGAAAAATAAATTTAACAGTAGCAGAAGGAGACAGTGTTTTTAAATATTACAAATATTTTCTTATTAGGAACAGTTTCTTTAGGGTGGATGATGTCCCAGCACCAAGACCCTCTGTTCTTTTTAAACCTTCATCTCAGAGTCTGAAAAGATCTGAAAAGTGTCCTGGCCTTAACATGTGTCCTTGGACAAGTTGCTTTAATTTCTTCCTTTAAACTTATGCTAAGGCCTAATCAAACATGACCAGAGAGATGAGGAGACAAGGCAACTCAAACGAAAACCTTTCAACAGACAATAGAAGCAGACCCACAGAGAATCTGAAGAATGAGATTATCAGACATGGACTTTAAAAGATGAATGTTTAATATGTTCAAGGAAATAAAAATCAAGATTTAAAAATTCATCAAGGAATTGAAAACTAGAAAATGAATAAAATGAAACATTTATAACTGAAAACTATAATAATTGATATTAGGAAATCAATAAATAGGGTTATCATATTTGATACGTCTGTAGAAAAAACTGGAAGAAAATCTCCAAACTCAGAGAAACTCAGAGAGATAGAAAATAAAGAAAACAATAAGATATATATATATATATGTGTGTGTATATATATATGGTGAAAAAGTTTAATGTAGGCATAACTGGAGTTCCAGTAGGATAGAAGAGACTGAATGGAGCAGAAACAATGTCTAAAGAGATAATAGCTGGTACTTTTCCATAGGAATTGCTTAGCTTGGTGCCCAGAACTTTTTATATGGTTAGTAAATGTCAGCTTTTCTCATCATCGATATTATTATTTTGCTCATCTTTGCTCCTGTGGAAGATTTACACTGATGGCAGTTTGTGAGGGTCCAAATCCACTAGGCCTTTTGTTCACCACAGATCTTACAGTCCTGGTGCTTCTGCTTCTACTGAAGGCCTGGAGTTGGGTTCACACTGGTTGAAATCTGATATGAAATTAGAGTGAGTTTTCCTATGGAAACAATGTAGTCAATGAATGTGGGTGTCCACTGTAGAGTGCTGTAGCTCAGCAAGCTTGGGATATAATCGTTCTTTATTTACAGCATCAGTTCAATGGAAAAACGCGTATCTTAGTTTCACATGCGTAGCCAACAAATGCTCGCTTGGAACTCAGCCATCAGCAATCCAGTTGATGGAGTGGGGATTGCCTGTACAATTAGTTCGGTCACTGTCACCCTAACCTTCTGCCTTTGATTCCTTTGTAAAGTGTAAGTCTCATTTGTAAGTGTCCTCACTGCAGGAATCAGGACATAATCTTTTTATCCCGTCCTTGCGTACTGCTGACTGCACGGGCGGTGAATCAGCGGATGAATTCGTGCATGCATTTGTGCGTGCCTCCTGGAGAGATGGTTTGGCTGGCGAACAGGGCAGTGGATATGGGAAATGGGAAGTCTGAGTCTTGTCTGAGTCTTGACTCTACCCTTACTAGTTACAGGCCCACTAGGAGAATCCGTGTTTTCCTTATGCGGGAATTGAGGATGAAGTCAACTGTCCTCCCCTGACAAAGGGCTGCTGTGAGGACCAAGTGAGATAAGTGTGTGAACATGGGTGCACGGGCCATATTTTTGTATCTCAAATGTGGCACCTTCTTCTCTGTATATGGGCTTCTGATTCTTTCATGGAGGGAACTGTGGACATTTCCAAGCTATGCTCACTAATGTCCACGGGGCATTAATCTAAATACTTGAGCTCACTTATGCCATGTATTAGTTTAAATTTACTTCCGTAAGGAATATGTTCCCTCATGAGGTAGACAGACGAAACGAAGTCTGGCGTCACAGACCTGGAGCTGCATTTTCTTGCATTGCTAGCTCAGTTTTTCCTACAACAGCGTGTGAGGACTGAGATTTACTCTGCTTGAGTGAAATCTGCTCTCAACACCTCCAAAAGGAATCTTACAGAATGTTGTGGGAATAAAAACAGCACAGGATGGACTTGAGTTTGATAACGTTTTCTGCTTTTATGGCACTTCTTTTTTGGTAGTGGTTACTGTGACTTGTAAAAATCATACCTTTTTCCCTCTGGTGAAAAGTGCTTGAGGTGAGAGGAATTATTTTATACCACCAGCATAGTATTTTACAGCCCAGAGCAGACAGGCCCAGTAAGTCCGTAATCTAATAAGCCCCTGGAATGGGATCCACGTGCAAAGTACGTCCGTTCTCTTTGATGCAAAGGGAGGCCTAGACAGAGAATCAAGTGAGGAATGAATTGGAGCTCTCCAGGGAGTTCGCTGGTAGTTTTAGGAGTGATGGTCAGTGCGCGGTGGCTCAAGCCTGTAATCCCAGCACTTTGGGAGGCCGAGACGGGCGGATCACGAGGTCAGGAGATCGAGACCATCCTGGCTAACCCCGTGAAACCTCGTCTCTACTAAAAAATACAAAAAACTAGCCGGGTGAGGTGGCGGGCGCCTGCAGTCCCAGCTACTCGGGAGGCTGAGGCAGGAGAATGGCGTGAACCCGGGAGGCGGAGCTTGCAGTGAGCTGAGATCCGCCACTGCACTCCAGCCTGGGTGACAGAGCGAGACTCCGTCTCAAAAACCAAAAACAAAAAACAAAAAAAAAAACCTCCAGTCTTTGGTCCGGCGGACTGATAGGATACTTCACTTTGGGGACCCGAGGCTCTTGTTGGATATGTAGGATTGGGATTTTCTGTTGATTGCTTTGTAACAAACCTAGTGCAGGGGGCCGGGTGTAGGGGGTGGGGGAGAGTAGGTTGGAGGAGTATATTCTCTTCCCCTTAGGCAAAGCTTCAAAAAAGTGCTTTGTGGGTTAATATGGAATTTGTGCCATATTTCTGTGGGGTTTCTTTGAAATCGAAAAGGGCAGGTGCAGCGCTTCCTGGATTAAGCATCCTGAGCCGTTTGTCTTCTGCTCTTGAGTTGACCCTGGTTTTGGGGCTGTAGAAAGGGGAGGAGTAGCCATCCAGTAACCCTGGCCTGAACTGCTAAGGCCAGGGCCCGGGGGCTGGGCTCTCACTCTTTCCAGACAGGGCCGAGGCACCGTCCTGCTCCAAGATGTGAAGGTGCCTTCCTACATGACCTCATCTCTGCATCTGCCAGCTCCATGTGCCCCCGGAGTGGGCGAGCCAGGCAAGCGTGGCACTGCCCTCATTACTATGCACTGCCTTCCCTTGCAGGCATCTCCACACAAGGCCACCTGCCTGGCAGGCGGGGCAGGCTGAGGCGGGGTGGGTGGGGTGTGTGTGCTGGTGTCCAAGGTGCCTAATGGGACCTCTACTTCTTTTGGTCACCTTTGGAGTCAGAACAGTCCAAACTGTTAATCATGCACAGTTCTGCCTGTTTCTCTCTTTATGTTATTTCTTTCTGCCCACAAGGTCTGCTGCTCTGTACAGGCCTCCTGAATTCCCTAACTGAACTCCTTGTCAATGCTGAAGACGCTGAAGACGTTTCAGAAGCATGTGGCTGGGTGCTTGGCTCATGCGGCTGGGCGCTCTGCTCATGCGGCTGGGCGCTCTGCTCATGCGGCTGGGCGCTCGGCTCATGTGGCTGGGCGCTTGGCTCATGCCGGTAATCTCAGCACTTTGGGAGGCTGAGGTGGGGATCGCTTGAGGCCAGGAGTTTGAGACCAGCCTGGGCAATATAATGACACCTCATCTCTGCCAAAATAAAAATAAAAAATTAGCCTAGTATGGTGGTGTGCACCTGCAGTCTTAGCTACTTGGGAGGCTGAGACAGGAGGATTGCTTGAGCCTGGAAGGAGCAGGTTGCAGTGAGCCGATATTGTGCCACTGTACTCCAGCCTGGGTGACAGAGTGAGCTCTTGTATCAAAACAAACAAACAAAACCCCAAACCAAAACAAACAAAAAGAAGTATGTAAGCCTTAAAGTCTAAACATTTAACTAAATGGATGACTGAATAAAAAAATAAACACAAAAATCCTTGTCATATAGGTTAACTCTGATTCCAAGACTAGAAAGAGATGCTGGAATTATCAGGTGACCCCCAACGGGATGTGACGCACAGAGTCAGTTCTGTAGTGTACATTGTAGGCAAATCATATTCTCTGTCTTTCTGAACATTCTGAGAAGAATGAACTCAAGGTTTGAAAGACTACCATGTATGCCGTAATTTTTGTGCTTAGTTTTTTTTTTTTTTTTCTTATTTAACTGCATTCTGAGGAATGGAATCCCTGAGTTTACGGGTCTTGTTAGTTATTTCCTGTCCATAAGAATCATGTTGATTTATAATGTTATCAGCAATGTATATTCCTTACCAGTTTCCTAAGACACCTCATCACCTGAAGATTTCTGAAAGTCTGTGGAGCAGTGCTTAGTGAGTTTGGAGTGAAGGCGTCCGTAGGAGTATGGTGGATGTTGTGAAGAGAGACCAGAGGGGACAGCCTTTCCTTGTCAGTGCCCACTTTGATGGAATCACAATTATTCCCTGAGGGTGGGGTTGAAAAGATTTTAAGGCCCTTTTCAGGTTCAATAAGATAATGTGTCTTGAATTGATTACTGATGTCTGCCATGAGAGCAGGATTAAGTAGTCTCGATCTATT